TTCTATAATCTTCTTTGTCTAGAATGACTCGCATTGGCTGCATTGCTCTGGACTAATCACTGTGATAATTCTACATGTTTTCAAGTGTACTTTTGCCTTGTTGGAAACGGACTGTGATCTCTTTGTTCATTTCATGGAGTAGTGAGAACAAGGATATTTGGAACTTTTCATTAGACGCCGTCCGGTTTAGTTTGTGTATATTATGCTGCACGTGATATTTTGGTCAGATTCTTTTTCTTTTCGTGAGTTGGCAGCTTACACAGATGTTGCTTCTGCAAAATGGTTTGTTGTTTCACAAATCACCAACTATCCGTTTCCAGCCACGCCTCTTATAACTGATTACAAGAATTCTTTTATTTTCCTTGTCCGATTGTTAGAAGATTAGCCTCGCAGACCATTCGTATTGACCATTATATGTTTAAGTCTAAGCCAGGCTTAGGTAAACATAGTCAATATTTAGAAATTACGTTACTCAAGTATTAGATATATACGAAGGTTAGAAAGAACTGAAAGAATTCAAAAGGAAAATAAAATACAACGGAAGACTTACAAGACATATTTACGGTAGTGTGACCGAGTGAAACAGTAACCTAACTAACAAGCCTGTGTAAATGGATGACAGAACAGGGAATGAAAGAGATATTAAAAAAACAAATATTACTTAGATCTACAAAGAGGCGAAATTTTAGGGAGCCATGATCGCTTAGGAAGAGATAGGGCGCATAAAAGCTGAAGAATGCATTCAAACTGACTTAGATATGCACAGTCTCTTCACTGTAGTGTAGTGGTTAACAATCTCACTTTAGCGTGTGTTCGATCTTTACTACGTGTTACACCCTTGTATATTTGTAACCAATTAAGCTTAATAAATGATCCTGTATTGTGGCTGAGATAGTTGGGTCTTTCACGTAAAAGAAGTCAATGTTTAAACACCTAGAACAGCAAAGATTTTGAATGCTCATTTTCAAGGCAACCAGATTATCTTAGTGCAGCATAATCTTCTTATTAAATTAAACTTAATAAACACCCATATACAACACATCATTTTGAAATCCTATATGCCTACATGTGTTTATATCTTACCTTTCATTCTTTCTGTATACATGTATATATTTATGTATGTATGTATGTAATAATTTGAATGCGCGCCGGCGCCTTCTCAGTTGAAGAATCAAGATCTAATAAACATTTCAAAGGCAGTACCGTTGTAATATTCTGCCGTTATGGGATGTGTCGGCATTCATCAATCTTTCATCCTTTCACAAATTCTATTTGTCTTTCTTTCTGCCTTAGACCTTATCTTGTGCCCCCAGAGTCGCAACAGCTTCTTACACTTTTTCACTCTTCACTCGAAAAGGACAAAAATAGGCACAGACTTATTTCTTCCCGAATTGTTTTCCTATTAAAAGACTGATTTTCTTACTTTCCTCCTTTTTTCTTTCAATACTGAAACACTTGATGACGAAAATTATGATATTGAGAAAATTATCGTCTTGAAGTTTATATATAAAGCTTGTTACTTTGAGACAGATTCAGTCGGCATTTCAGTGAGCATTTTGAACTTAATTTAATGAAATTTAAAGTATATTTTTCTTTGTTCATCCTAGAAAAAGAGCTTTTAAACTTGACTATCTGCAATGTAAGATACAGTAACACGCATGCACGCACATACACACACACATAAGTTTAATATCCTCTATTGAATTTATCCCTCGTTTTTTCCAAGTTGCAAAATAATCTTTCGCAAACCTAGCTGCTGCAGATACAAATCATATCTGTGTCCAAGCTTTCGACTCACATTCAGGCGAATGAGAAAAAGAAAAATGAAGGAAAGAATATCCTAAGTGTTTGAAGTCGTTAATTTAAAAAAAAAAAATCATCATTATCAGAGTTTTTTCAACTTGCAAGCACGATGTAAATTAGTGGGATTTCTCATTTTCAGCAACTTTTTAAATAACTATCAGCCCTCTCCAAACCTCCTTATCCTGTGTTAACTTACGTAAAGTGCTGCAATTCTTTCAAGGTCTTCTTTTCTTTTACAGGGAATGATGGAATTTTATTGATAGTTATTTTAATGTTGTTGCTCAATGTATGTATTATGGTTGTTCGTCCAATATCTATGGATGTTGTTCTTCCGTTTGGTATTGATGATAAAACTATTTCCATAATATTTACTGTTTCCAAAGCTATTAATTTGTGCTGTCTAACTACGATATTAATATCAAGTCCTTTGAGATAACATACATCAATGATACAACTATCAATGACCCGAGACAATAATTACTACTTTGTTTTTTTCGTTTTCATAAGTTTATGTGACATTGGAGGTATTTATAAAGTTTTAAATAAGAAGTTGCCAATTTTTAATGACTGCCAACCGGAGAAATTATTAGCTTCACCGCCAATGATTTTTGAAATTGTCATATTATTTTGTTTGAAGTTGATTCTGAGAAAAATAAATACTCAGATAATCATATCAGCAACGTGCAATAATAACGTGTATCAGTTACATGCAATATTGTGTATTTTTTAATGCATTGAATAAGAGATTAGAAAATATACTTATTTTTATTAATGTTTATTAATGGACAGTTGAATTTATTCAATCTAAATTCAATCAATGATCTTTATGTTTATTTTATTTATTTATTTACTATTGGATTTATGGAGTATTTTACATAAGAACTATCTATTATATAATATCTATATTATATAATATCTAATATTATAGTTCTTGACATACTTGTTAGTGTATTGTCTAATTTCCCGTTGTTTAAATAAATAGTATGTAAACCGGCGTGAAAGAGTAGTTGCTGTGTAACCTATATAAAACAGATTTTGTTTATTATTCACAGAGATGCAATCTCCATTTGGATAAATAAATTCGACATTATGTTGTAGGTTAAGAAATATTTTTGAGGATCTGGTTTGAAAGTTTTAATAATAAAGGATATATCTAATATGTGTATTTATATCAAAAGGTTTAATATATGTATGTAGTAAATTTTTGCTACTATTTCATTGTTTTTGTAATTGTGGTGCGTTTGGTTTCTGTAGAATATATTAATGGCGTTGTCATTAATCCCATCTTGCGAATTTGTGTTTATATTTAAATTATTATTTTGTAAGTGAAATTTTATTTTATAGTCAACAATATAATTAAGAAAGCTGTTATTAATAAGAGTTTATATTATGTTTCTTAATTCTAAAGAAAAAAATGATGAGAAGATTAATTTACGTTTTTGGATTAAATTGTTGATAACAGCAAATTTATAACTTTCAGGACATTCACTTTTATAAGAGGTAAGAATTAGAACTGGGTGATTCACTATAAGGGAAAGTGGTAAAATTTTGACCGTTATAATGAAATATTTTTTAAATAGTATTTTATTCACAAGTAGACTTTAACACAATTTTTTCTCAAAATATTCTTTGAGTTCAATAATATCATTGACAATTTTTGTTTGCATAAAAATATCATCAATGTATCATCAATAAATTCACTATTTATTTTAAATAAATAGTGAATTTATTTAATTCATTACATATTTTTTTCTAAATAGGCCACGTAAAAATGAGAGAATAGAAAAGCTAGAGGGCTTCCCGTAGCAACAATTTCTGTCTGGATGTTGATATTATCTATATGATCATTAAATGGAACATATGTTATGCAATCTATTTAAAAGTTTTCTTTTGTAAGTGTGAGGTTAATTTTTAAAGGCGGGAGAGAAGAAGGATGATAAATATTGGTTAAAATAATATCAGTTGTTTCATTGATAGGGACGCGTTAGTAAATAGGTTTGAAAAATCTAATTTTCCTAATATTTCATTTTGTGGTGTATAAGAGTGGGGGTTTGTAAAAATTCATTAGTAGAATTAATAATATATTTGGTAGGTAAATATGATACGAATAAATGATTTAAAGCATTAGCTAATTGGTATATAGTTGTGGTGACTTGTGATATAATAGGGCTGAGTATGGCTTATGAATTTTAACATTATATTCAACTGTGATTTTCTACGTTTAAGTGAACTTACGTTATTCAAAATATATAAGATTACCGATTACGCGATTCGTTTGTTTTGTTTTTCTTTAGTTGATAGACAGGGTTTTTCTTAAATTTTGACAATTTAGTCGTGTCATTGAGCATAGATTGTAATTTTGTATAGTATTCATCTTTGTGTTCATGTGTGGCTTGTCTTTACGTTTGGATTGTTATTTAAAACTAAAAGGGTTCTCGTGTTATTAAATCTATTTTTGATGGATTTAGCTTTGAATAAATTTTTAAACCCAGGAAGTATTACAATAAGATTTTCATCTTTCAAATTTAATCAAAGTTTGTTTCAGTATTTCAATTTCACTTGTCTTGCTAACGATATTTCATTCTATCATTCAACCCTCGAAGATGACTCATGTGAATCGAAATCTTTGACATGACTTTCGTTTGGGCTATTTTTTTCTGCAGCAGTCAGTTTTGTGAAAGGTTATTTGCAGTTTGGAAAAGACGGTGGATAAATTCAAATAGACATAGAAAGTTTGTCCTTTTTAGTAAAACCTATGTAAACGAAAAATTGTTGCGCTATATATATATATAACAGTATATGTATTTTTATACAAGTCAAGATCAATATACCTGTTTTACAATATATTTTATTCATTATATATTAGAATTGAAACAGCTAAATATATTCTTTGCGTTGTTGTAGTTATTGGTTCGTCTGCATGTCATTGGAAATTGCTTGACGTGCTACGTATGGCACGCGTGCCGTAGGCTGCCGACCCCTGGGATCCGAGATACAATTAGTTTCAATAAATTATTAAGGATTATCGTAATATTTAAAATAATAGTTGGTTAAATATTTATCTTATTTATTTATTTGATTATATTTTATATTTATTTGTTTTATATTATTTTATTGATCAACTTATTTACTTAATTATTTATATTATTATTTTATTTATTTAAATAAGTTTATTTTATTAATTATTTTATTACATTTATTTATTTATTATATTTATTTATTCATCTACTTTTTGCAATTATTATTATTCATTCATAGTGATTTATGTATGTTATTTTACAATCGAATATTTACTGTCATGAGTAGGAATGTACGCAAATAAATTTAAAAGGGTTCTATTTATAGTGTACTAGCAGTAGAGCCCAGCGTTGCCCGGGGATATAACAGTAAGAGATAGATCAAGTATCCACCATCATAAAGACTGAAAAATAAAATTGACAAAGATTATTGTTTAAGGTTGACGGACACGCATGTCTTAATTAGTTTTTTTTTTTTTTTTTTTTTTTTTTTTTACAATTGGTCAAACCCAAACTCAAACAAAACATTGTTTTCAATCGTTATGAGTCTCCCGATTGAATAGAATTTTATTATAAACAATTGTCTTGTAAATGGAATTTTTAAAGCATTCTGAATGTAAAAATAAAGAAAAAAAATGTGCAAGACAATAAGAAACACTACATGCCAAAAAAAAAAAATGAAGTTTTGTTGAAATCGGTTGAAAAATGTAGGTAGCCTTTCTGTAATCTTTTTAGTTTTACAATTTATGATTTTTTTACTTATTGACAGTAATAAAAATTGCATATTTTGCTTGTGGTGATTCATAATTAGAATTCTGATTTGAATATATTTTCCACTCGTTGTTTCTAATACAAAAATATTAACTTTATTTGGGTTTATTAATTATGATCTAACAAATCTTATTCATTTAGTAGCCTTTCTGTAATAATAATCTTTTACAATTTATGATTTTTACTTATTGAATACAGTAAAAAATTGGACACCATGTGTATTTAAAGTAGTTTCCGTTCCGGTTATTATTTTTAGTTAGGACTTGTGTATGTTTAGATTTATTATTATCTTTCCCTAAAGATAAAAAAAATTATCCGATGTTTGTATTCGTACAATCAGTAGAGATCGTTAGATTATTGTTTAAGGTTGACGGACACGCATGTCTTAATTAGTTTTTTTTTAATTTTTTACGAATTGTTCAAACCCAAACTCAAACAAAAACATTGTTTTCAATTGTTATGAGTCTCCCGATTGAATAGAATTTTATTATAAATAATTGTCTTTTAAATGGAATTATTAAAGCATTCTGAATATTAAAAATAAAGAAAAAAAGTGTGCAAGAGAATAAGAAACACTACATGCCAAAAAAAAAAAAGTGAAGTTTTGTTTTATCGGCTGAAAAATATAGGAAATCCGCTCCCATATTTAAAGAAACCCACACACAGAAACAACCCGATGTGAGTTGTCCCCCTTCCATTTTGACTATGTCTCTTAATCGTGTTTTCAAATTGATTTTGTGCAAAAACAATTATATTTTTCGCATTTTTGGCGCTGTTAGAACCACCACAAGGTAATTTCATATAGTCCTGTGAAGTTTTGTTGAAATCGGTTGAAAAATGTAGGAAATCCGATCCAATATATAAACGTTACAGACACACACACACACACACACACACACACACACACACACACAATCTGCGTTTTATAATAAGTAAGATTAGATATTGGATATATTCGTCCTTTCCAAATATTTATTAAAAAAATTTAGTATTTTATCGAAATATTTAAAATCATAGTTTACACTAATTTATAATTTTTACAATATGTTTTTATAGGAAATATTTTGCCTATTAATATGATTGAATTTGCTTAGAAATTCATTGTATTTATTTAACATTTCATTTGTATGTTTAAAATGGAATGTTTCTCCTAAGCACAAGCTGTTGTTCCGGCTTTTAATATAGCAACGTTTCTCATCTAATGTTTCCTTTTGTTCTCATATATATTCAGAAAGTGTAGCAGATTTTATTCTCTCGAAAGGCATTTTTTTTTTGTTGTGGTAGGATCCACCTAATTTGCATAGTGGAGTACCGACCATATAAATATGGTTGGTACCGGGAAGAGAGGGGAGGAATCAAGAGATTCAATCCAGAGACTCTGCCCGACTGCGACTAAGTCAACACATTCTCCAGGAACGGTCTTCCCAGGAATATACAAAAGACTATATGTAAATATTGTGTACACTTTCTTGTTTCAATACATTTTGTTCTAAGTACATTTTGTGTTGTATTATTATTCCATGCATTAGTCAAGTTTCAACACTTTTACAGTTTTTGTTTCTCTTGCTTCAATATAAGTTTCTTCTTCTTGCTATTATTATTATTATTATTATTTTAACTAAATATTTCTTCCGGTGAAGATGGGAACTGAGCAATAATGACGAGTGAACCTAGCGTACAAACAATTACACAATGAAAGAATATAATATGACTTCTAAAGCTGCATTCTTTAAATACATATTATGGTCTGATTTATCCCACCTAATAGTGAGTATGTTCATATATTTTTTATTCAAATTCCCAAATGTTTCACCTATGTATTTCTTGTGACATTAAAGTCTATACTTGTCACACAGGACATAAATGAATAGAATCGTCAGTTTATGTAAATAGGTGGAGTTCAACGGAGTTGAGCAGAGTCGGCATTAGGTCAATTGCTAAGTGTACCTTCAATTTCAATACTTGCCTACGAGTTGTCTTCCTTTTCTCTGTTATCTCGAAAATACGCGATACAACAATAAATTTCTACTTCATATTTTAGGTTGTTATTATTTTGTTTTGTATTAATTAAATCTATTATTGTTTTTGAAGTAGTTGTTACAAATTGTATATTAAGTTTAGATTAATTATTTACATTTGTTGTCGTTATTGAGCTGATAGGTAGTATTACATGTCTAGTTTTGTTAACACTATATTTACTTTTCTAATTCTATAAGTCTTTCATTTCTCCTAGAGTTTTCGTTTTCGTATTAAATATGAAATAATTAAGATATTGAAAGAGTTTAAAATATTTTAAATGTATTTCTGTTCATCATGTAAATACTGAGCGCTACAAATTGTAAGTGCTCTTAAATAGAAACCTCTAATTATTCCAGATTTTATTTTGTTGATATTGCGTGAATACAAGTTTATAATATCAGTTATATTAGTTGATTTTCAATAAACACTTAGTTTTAGGTCATTACCATCACGATTTAACATGAAATCGAATAAATTTAATGTATCGTTTGTTTCTGCTTCATTAAATTGGATTGTATGCTCAAATGTTGTTTAGTTTATTTACAAGTTTATAGCGGTTTGAACGGCTTCAATTCAATCCGCACATTTTTTTTACTTTACAAATGTATCAGCAAACAAAAAGCAAACAAGAGAAACAACACAAAAACTGTTCTTATAATAACAAACAATCTTCATTTTACTGTATGACATACAAAACAATCAAGTGTGTGATTTTTATATAGTAAGAGTTGTAATTAATAACAGGAGTTATTTACCTCTAACTTGAAATTCTTAAAACCTTTAAAGAGAAAATTTTTTATCTGAACTCACAGAAAATATTTCAGTTCATGAAATAAAGTTCAGTCACAATGAATGAAATGTTCTTCGAAAAAAGTGTTAATGACTGGAAAGTTCGTATTAGAAAAGTTCAATGAAACTTGAAAGGAAATTGTAGTCTTCACTTGCAATATCAAGAAGTTGTGTTTGGTACTAAAAATGACATTTTTAGTTTTTAAAATTCTGAATAAAATTTAACGTAAATAAGTGGAAATAACTTGCCGCTTAAATAGTTCACTGAAGAGAGATGAATATGAGTGAGAGAATTCTGGAAAGCTGAGAATATGTTGAATCGAAACTTATAGCTCAAGATTTTGAAGTAATATTTCTCGCTGGTGAATATTGACAAGGGACGAAAGTTGTATTCTCTTGGACGGCATGTTTGTTGCTGAAGAAAATTTCACTGTTAGAAGTTGAATAAGTTTCTGTGTTCTTGTAGCTGAAGGAATGAATAGGATGAATTCAGAGATGTGCAATGTTCGTACGCACGTGTGTGCGTGTGTGTGCGTGCGTGTGCGTGCGCGTGTCATAGTGTCTTTCCATAAGGAACAGACGTAATCTCTCTAATGCTACAACTTGTATGTGAGAGAAGGCAAAAGAGGAAGAAATGAAAATGTCGCTATGTATTTATAATGAATGTGTACCATGTGGTAGGCTCGAAACATAGACAGATTTTGGCTGTAGATTAATTTTTACCGTGCGGACGTAGACGAAAGCATGATATTGGCTTTAATTGACCAATCAGGAGCCAGAAAAATATCAAGGCTCTGTGATCCACTTTGGTGTTTAGATTGTACAAAAAATTGACGTCGAAAGAAAGAGGTAGCAGAATGCTAAAAGATGAAATAATATTATTTTGCGGGTCATACTAGTAAAGTATCATCGATATATTGGAAATATGTTGATTATTTATGAAAAAATATTTTGGGAACGACCAGTCTCTGGATAATCTAAGAAAATAGATATTAAAACACCGCTAAGAGGTGACCTCATCGGTAATCCAAATTTTTGTTTATAAAAACTATTGTCATAGTGAAATAGCATTAGTCTGTAATGAGTTGTTAAATCTTTAAATTTTTACCTATCGGTAGAGAGAGGTTAATTTTTTATTGTACTAAATGATTTTTTAAAAGTTTCATGCATTTGTTAGTAGGAACGTTTGTGTATAAGGATTTAATATCCAAAATAGCCATGAGTTTATCTTTCATATTTTATCTTATGACTTTTTGTCTTTTGATCAGATCGCCAGAATTTTTCATATGTGATGGGGTAATTGTTCCAAGAAATGATATCAAGATTTTTACTGTTACTATGGGGGCACTTTTAATTCCAGGTATGATCGGTAGCACCTGCTTGGTGAGATTTAAGCAGACCATAAGCGTTTTACGGATTTTTTTTGGGATACCCACATAGGAAAAACTCAGGGCTTGTTAGATCCGGGGAACGTGATGGCTATTTTATGCCCCAACCGTGAGAAATTATTCTTTTCCCTAAAATTAAACAGTAAGCAGGACTGTGGCCCGTGTCGTATGAGATGTTACTCCATCTTGTACTGCAACAGGTTGATGCATTTAAAAATTCGTCCGAGAGATCCCAAACTGTCGAGACCATCTTGGATTTTCTTCGATACTTATTATTGAATCTTGATTTTGATAAAAAGATTTCACTACTTGTGTTCGTTTTTCAGTCGTATGTTTTAATAAGATTAATTTTCAAAGCCTTCTTTAAAAATGCCTGTCAAAAAACTAAAAGAAAGTTATAAAACTTACAAGACCCTTAGTTAATTTTGTGATAGCCTGTAGTTTCTGGGATTGAGCGGTTTTAGTGGATCTATCTTCTTTATACTAAATTAACTATTAACTGAAATCATTGTCGATCGTTACATCGTCGCAGTGAGACAAAACTGAGAATCGTTAAAACGACATATTTATTAGAAGAAAATTTAACATTAAAAAAAATAATAATTTTATTTGGATATTTATTTTGTGCTCGTTAATTACTCACATGTGTACACTGAAGAAAGAAAACAGAGTTGCACTAATTATTTATGTAAGGAAAGCTTAGCTACCTTCAAAATCAGCTTTCGAAAACCAGGTTTCAAGCCATGCTTGAACGCTGATTAATGACACAATCCGACATATTTTTTTAAGCTGTAGTGAACGTTCTTCATCAATTTTTAAAGAAAAATGTCTAATTTGTGAAATTTTTCTGCGGTAAGTTTTATGGTGATAATCGGTAATGCTGAATAGGGTTACATTTTGTCGTGTTGAAATAAATGTAGGTTAAAATGTGAACTTCCATCTCTACCCCCACAAAAATCAGCATTTTCAACTTCGTCTGAGAAAAATGAAAAACATTTTTCTTTTTCTTAAAAATGTCTGAAATGTTTCTCTTTTATGAAACATTTTGGTTGAGAGTTTTACATCAGCAATTTTCTTTCTTTCTTTCTTTCTTTCTTTCTTTCTTTCTTTCTTTCTTCTAGCTGTTTATCTGTATCGTTCTCTTCCCTTGGTTTCCTTTCTCGTTTCTCTCCTGTCTTTTTCTCTCCTGTTTTCTCGTTTCTCTTCTGTCTTTTTCTCTCCTGTTTTCTCTCTTTCTTATCTCTCTTTCCATCCTCCCTCTTTTTTCTTTTTTCTCTCTCTCTCTCTCTCTTCTTTAGAGTATATAGTTTCATCAGATATACAAATACTTCAATGAAAAAGGTAGGATACGTTTTTATCAAACTGGTAATTAGAAAACAGACTTTCAATGTCCATCTAATTGGATGAAATTTATAAACACAAGTAATCAATAATTGATTCACTTCTGAAAAAACGAATTTTCAGATCAGCCGTAAATCTTCTAAACCATTCGCTTGCATTGTGAAACCGAACTTCACTGAATCTAGTCAATATCTCCCAAATTTCTAGCTTAAAAATCTTGACATGCATTCTTAGAAATAATTTTTTCAAATTACAGATGGCAGCCTTTCTACTCCCTTTCTCTCCCCTATTGCTATCTGTACTAACTAACCTTCGTTGACAGATTATGCCCTGTAACTTTTTTGTCCGAGTTGTGACAAGGACACTGTCAAGTACACTGAGAGTGCAATATAAATGTTTTCTCTTGAATCTTTGACAAAAGAATGCCGTACACTCGAACTTTTCAACAGAAATTGACATCACTCAGCGCTAAAACGAAAATAATCCGGTTTGTCGCTCTTGTTAGAAACTATTTTGGGGAAACCCAACCTTGATTCATTGATTCTGACAGGCAACAACGATGCTTTAATTTCTCTCACATAATATTAAAATTGATTTAACGGGACAAAAATAAACATATGTGACAGTCATCATCAAAAAACATTACTGTTTTGGTTGATATTTTATTTGAGTCACTTTCATGGAACACCCAGTGAAAGACAAACTTACCTTGACTGCCTTGCAAGTTAATAACCTTTGTATTTCAACAAGTTCTTCTACTTGGATGAAAGACTGATAACATCACCAAGTACTGTAACCATCTTTCAGATTCTGGCGAACCCTGATTTGTGATATTTTACCTTGCAACATCTTTATTTCATTAGTAAACGAGTGGTGCTCTCTTCCGACGAACTCAGCGGAGAAAATTATACACTATACGATATCTTCTTTTTCAGTTTTAAAAGCTTTTCAAGATTCACAGCATTATTATTATATTCCTTGTTATATTCCACTTTAAATATTTTGCTTCAAAGTTTCAGTCTTTGACTGTGCTTATGTATTTTGCATTCAGGTTTTTGGTATTTTTCGTTTTTTCCTCCAAAAGCTAATGTCGTTTATATTGATGTCTGGAAACCAAAAAAAGGTAAAACATTAAGTTGAATTTTCTTTTTCTCGCCGAAAAACATACAAAAAAAGACTGAGTATTTTTTTTTGTTTCTTTTCCTTAGTCCTTCCACGCAAACTCTAATGCTAGCCACTAATCAAGGAAGAGACAAAAGCAGCTAAGGAAATAAACTTTATAAATATCGATTGGTTATGAAAATTTTGATCGATTGGCGAGTAACAAAAAAGCCTGAAAATGCTATACTCTAAAATCTAAATTGATATTTTTTTTTCTTATTTCAAACCTTCTGTGGAAAAAGCTGCATCAATCTGATAAGCGGACTGACCTAGAACCAGACTAAAAAGATATAAAAGACTGACCGCTTAAGAGAAAGGGTGAGATTTTGTGATTATCCAAGATCAAATTGCTCTTAAAAGTTGACCAACCCCAGAGAAAAACTTATTGCGTTTCTCGTCTACAAGAAAATTACACTGCAACTTAATGTTTATATTATTTTTATATTTACGTACTTAAAATACAAAAATTTTAATTTCCAAACTTTAAGTGCGGAAATTTAAGTGGATATCCAATTACGGAAGTAAACTTTTGTTGGGGAAAAACAATTTTTTTATTCATAAAAAATAAAAATTGATTCGTTCGTCATTATCGAAATCATGATCATCAAAATTGTGTGTTTTTTATACATTGTTAGATTATATGTCCTTATTTAGTAAAGCTTCTTTCTTAGATTGTCATCACGTCATAAAGTAAAAAGAATTGTAAAGTCTTTTTTATGTTACTTATATTTTTGCATCTTTATAAATGTGGCTTACTTATCTAAACTTTTTATATTTTCGTTCTTCCACGAATTATTTAGGCTAACTTTTGTCAACTTTCTGTGTACAGTGCTTGTGTTCTTCGGAGTTTTTCTTATGGATAAACTTATAAATGACGCTTTTCGTTCTAAGAAAGACCTTCGTCAGACTAATAATGATTTTATTTTTTACTGATAGAATCAATCTTGAAATAGCGGAGACAGAAAGTGGGGAAAATATAACAAAACGTCGGTTTCAATACGTCCAGTTTATCTAAAGATTTAACAGCCTCATTCAGCTTCTTAATTAATTCTACGTTTTCTCAACAGCAGGTTTGTGTAGAACGGAGATATCTTGTAGAATCCTGCATATAAAATTCCTGTAGTGTAGAGGATTCCGAAATTAGTCCACTTTCAACACATTTTCGCCTTAATAAATTACTTTCTTTTTTAATCAAAACTGCATTCAAAATTAGTATTATGATGAAGGACTAATGTATTGGGTGTAACGTTTTGTAAAAATTAACTTTTGAGTTCATATAATATTTTATTTAAATTCCTAGATGTGTTGCCTATGTATTTCTTGGGAATTTATTTTGAAGTCTATTTTGTAAATCCTACCTATCGCAATCATTTTATATATAAGACTGAATCCATGAAAAAAGACATTATTAATCTGAAATTCATTCTCGAAACGAAACGCGTTAAGCTTTTTTCATTTACTGACTATTTAACTATATATATATATATATATATATATATATATATATATATATATATATATATATTTGTACACACACACATAGTGGATAGCGTCTCGGAATATCCATTACATTCACTTGGGAAAGGTATTAATCCTCTTCTCCCTCCAACTACGGGTAAATAGCAGGACAGACTGGGTTCTATAGCCTTGGATGAAGAATTATTAAATGTGAGAAACGCACAGACCAGAATATTTTAATCGAAACGACAAAAATGAAAACACTAATCCAAATAATTTAGGAAATGATGATTGTAGTCCATTAGAAATGTTAAGAAACGCATCAACCGAAATGTAATGGTCAAAACAACAATCCTGGTGATACACGTCCGAAAAGAATAAAGATCATTTTTCTCGATTATATGGATTCTGTATTCTGTTTGAATCCAAGAGAATTTTTGGTAGTGAGATACAACTTCATATTTTCACTGTTATTTTGATGGTTTGAGATTATAATCTTTGCAAAATACACCCCCTCCCCTGAACAGTCTTGTTTTGTTAACTGCCTCCCCGGTACAGGGCACTGGCTAACATCGAGTTGCTATTAGGATGTGGGAAACAGTTATTATTATTTTGCAGATGGGTTGAATTTGAAGGAAAAGCGTAAATTATACAGAACAGATGCTTGTAAATAATTAAAGGAAAAAACGAAAAGAGAGGAAGAGTAACCTTCACATCGACACACGGCTTCACTCACAACAAGCGTTTACAAACGAAGTGTCAGGGAAACTGAAAGAAATTGGCGCACACGCGCAAACGCACATATTCGCTGATAACGAAACGCATTCTTTCTCTCTCACTCTTTCGCTTCCTATACACATCCACATTATGTGTATGGAACAAAAATGGGCCTTGTTTCGATGTTGAAGTGGGACAATCGCTGATTCTAGAAGGAGAATAAAGAGAAAATATTAATTTGTCGTTTAGAATCTGATTGACACTTTTTTAATTAATGAAAACTGTATATTCTTTCTTTTATTTTATATATTATATTTGTTAATATGCATACATTTACGACGGCAATGAAAAGTTTTCGTCTCGATCCATTAGTCAAGATTTAACCAAATGACCAACATTAGGAATTTATTTTCTTTTTTAGTAATGGTTTTTACTCACGGCCAAAACATTTTATTAACTCTTATCTATCTATCTATCTATCTATCTATCTATCTATCTATCTATCTATCTATCTATCTATTATTAATGGGTGGTGAAAAGTTCTTATCCTGACCAAAGACCCTGCCAGAAAAAAGTCTGATGTTTGGTCATATTTTGGAAAATATGTCGGCACTCTCGTATATGCATATACATATACATTGGTGCATAGCTTGTAGACGGAGATACAAATCTCGCCATAGTCTACATAGTCTATATGTCAGAGAGGTGACTTACCTGGTGAGGCGATCCCAGCGTGTGGCACATTTGGAAAGTGTTTGAAAAACATACCACAAGTTGAAACAAATCTTCTCAGTGAAACTGAGTAGAGTGTTCAGAATCCGTCCATTACTGAGTCATTGTGACCGCAGATTTGAACGTATTGACCTTGTTCAAACTGTTGATCACACCAAAGTAGCACCCTCTTAGAAAAACCATAACTACGACCGTTCTGCATAGTTGGGGTCTGTTATTGTTGTAAAAAACACAGGTGCCTGGGCAGGCATCTACAACAAAGATTGTTTAACCACAGTGTGTGTGTGTGTGTGTGTGTGTGTGTGTGTGTGTGTGTGTGTGTGTGTGTGTGTGTGTGTGTGTGTGTTCATTCAACGCATATTCAACTTAGAAAAAGAGAAAAGAGCTTATTCAATAAAACTGCTCTCATATTCAAGTTCAGACTTGATACAGTCTGAGAAGCAAATGTGTATTCAGAACAGGTGGTTGTCATTCATGTTTGCCATGACGTCTATGGTGGCGTCGTTCAACGAGTTTTTAATATTGTATGACTGCTGGTTGCAGTGCCTCTCGATGACATCCCAGGAGGTTCAAATCAGGAGAGCTTAGAGACTATATATATTGAAGGTGATATTATCGTGTAAATTCTCGGCCACTCATTTCAGTATGCGTGGGATCAGAATTTTGTCGGGACATACACGGTCAACTCTGCATCCAGAGCTTAGCCAACTTGTCTAGCGTATCGATGGGGGAGGTGAGACTGAACGTGAGACTCTGCAACATGAAGTGGAATGACCTGACATGGCCCTCTTACTTACGATACCAACCCAGGACAATAACAGCTAATGCGAACTTCCTGTATCAGATTGGAGGCTTCCATATTAATGACATCGTTTTATATAAAAGAAATATGATAAAATTGGCTGGATGCTGTGTAATATTACGTAATTTTGTTTTCTATTTATGGCATGATAAAGATATGTTATCAAATATCTAACGGTCCATGTATAATCGATTCCGCTACCATGGTTTCAACCTTTCAGTATCGTCAGGCGGTTTGATTTTTAATACTACTATTTCCTGGTCTAATCCAACTCTGACCTTTTCAGTATGAAATAGAGTAATTCTGACAATTTAATATATTTTCTGTTTATACGTTATTTTTATAGATACAAATATTTAAGTAAATGCTCTGGTTATAATAAACAATATTAACAACATTTACCGGGCTGAATGTCCGAAAAATTTCATAGAAAATATGTGTCCTCTGACAGAAATCGAACCTGTATCCTAAACGGAACCGTCATTTGGCCTGCCGTGCTATAACATTTAACTACAGAGGAAGCGTCTGGTTAACAAAATGAAATTACTAACCAGACATATGTATGTATATATATATATGTGTGTGTGTGTGTGTATGTTCGCATCTGTTTGTACACGCATACTCAAGAAAGTGCTGAAAAGTTCTCGGCTTAACCAAGAAATGATGATTAAACTGAAAACATTTCATCATCTTCATGTACATGCAGGGCTCGATCAATAATTCTATAGTCTAACAGTCTGATCGGAAATTTTCATTGTATAATTTTCGATTAATTAATTGGTTAATTGAGACGCGCTGGATAGTAATTACATATTTCATCGCTATTAATGATGAGTCAACTAACCAAGGTAGAACCACGGTTGAATGTTGCAAAAAATTGCCTCTAATTTGTTTATCTTCTTCCGGCAGTATGTTCTTTATAGCGCATTTGAGAGTTTCCCAGGGAAAACTTGCAAAGAGGGGTTTTAGGTTCCTTATGAGCTTACACGCTTCAATACCGAACACAACGTTCCACCAACGGCAGCATTTTTTTTTAACCATAATTGCCAACCTTTCATTTTCGTATCGCTTTGTTACAGGTAATGAAAAATGTGTCACAGAAAGCGCAAAAAAAATGTTAGTTATCACAAAATGAGAAAACAGTGTCAACACCAAAACCAGGACTCCATCCACAGAAGTTCTTGCTTTGTGTCTGGTGCATTGACAAGTAAGATTGTGTTGTAAAATATTTGTTATATAAAAATGTTTTTGAGGTTTTTATCAATAGCGTACTTACGCGCGTGCGCGACAATACCAGCAGCATACACGTCTCTATAAATGTATAACAGGGATAACATTAGCAACATAGACGAAAAGCTCTCAACTGTTTGCTGACTGCAAGCATCATTTTACGTTAATGAACTTTGAAAAGACATCAGGCTAAATTTCTTTCTGCTCACACGAGCACCAGTCACTTGCTAATAAACGAGCGACTCTTCATGCGCATGTATGCATACATCAATTTCTCTCTCTCTCTCTCTCCCTCTCTCTCTCTATATATATATATATATGTGTGTGTGTGTGTGTGTGTGTGTTCCTGTCATTGTAAACAATAGAGATGACAGCTATTTTAAAATAGTTGTGGGAAAGTGGTTTATCTAAGTGCCCACTCGCCCTAGCTCTTCTTTGTTTAACATATTTGTATGCCAGTGATTTGATATTTTCAAGATCTTTGAGATAGAAAGACAGGAGAAGGTAGCAAGGATATTATTGAGATGTGTACATACACAGATATCTTATTCTCTCTCTCTCTCTCTCTCTCTCTCTCTCTCTCTCTCTCTTTATATATCTATTATATATCACTTTATAGCCCTCATAACAGTAAGACATTAGTGGCTCTCCACAACTTCCTGTCTCTTGTAACTCTAAGAACCTTTGATTTTACCATTCCTCTTTGTCTTATTCTGTCATTGATTCATGTTATGAGATAAATTGCTTGTTTTTTTCCTCTGTTATTCCTTCCCGCAATACGTCACGTAAGTATTAAAATTTCCAAGCCGTCCTTCCTCATAAAATATCTAAAAAATTCTAACAGTCACTTTAGACTCAAAGAAATAATAATAATAATAATAATAATAATAATAATAATAATAATAATAATGTAAGCACAGACTTTAATAAAAGAAAACCAGATATAGCAAAGAGGTGAGGGAGACTGAAGATCACCGCATTCGAAAAAGCAACAATTTCTCTTATTTCTTTTTTTTAAATGAAGATCAAATACTGGATATTTGAGGTAGATATATCTACCACAGATATGTAATTTAATAAAAATGTCAATTGCATAAAAGACGCATAACGACAGTTTTCTACTTTCAATGCCTTCTCTCATCCAATGGATATTTTGTTATCAATTATATTCATTGATTTTTGTATTGATCAGGAATTAAGTATGAAGTTATTTTGGGTTATGAAAAGCAGGATGTTATGGCCAAAATATTGGCCGTTTGTCATTGCCACATGCCATTCATTGCCACTGTCGTAGAGAAAGAAAATTGCCGTGGTCGTTATATATTATTGTCATTTAAAGTTTCAGTGCATTTAATCCTTTAATACTCCAACTGTAAATTAATCGCGGAAAAGAGAGATTTATTTTTTAATCATTTTAAAGTTTGCCCTGTAATTGTCATTTCTGATCGTTTTCCCTGGTTGGAAAGTGTTTTTCTGAATTCAGAAAAGATTTACTTTCAGATCTTTTAGCGTTTATTCTCATGTTACTCTTCAAATGTAGTAAATAAATTTCCGATATATGTTTTATCTATCCACCTAGTTAGATACTTATTTTCCAGGGTAAAATGCTATAAAATGACTGTACTCCATCAGAGCCTCACTGATTCAGAAACTAAAGATTGAAATACTGATTTTACTAAAATTCGATTAAAAAATAAATTTGAAATTTCAGCCTACAAATACATACACATACATTAGGGCATACCAATATTTGAATACATGCTCTGTTTATTTATTAACATCTATAATTAAATATACTGTTTAATAAATAAACAGATCTTATATTCAAATACGAGTATCCACTAAAAATAATGTTTAAAGTAATAAATGTGACGGATTAATAAATGAAAAATCCATTCCTAAAAATTGCTTTGTTTACATTAAGATACGAAACTGATCAGAGATGTGTTTTTCGAGTATCGGGAAAAAATTGTGCTTAAAAGCGTTGTTCGAGCTTTGCCTGGCTATCATAACCCTGATTTTTGCAAAATCGCCGAAGTTAAGCAACGTCAAACCTGGTCAATACCTATATGAGTGACCGCTTGGGAATACCAAATGCTATAAGCTTTGGATGTACATGGTGTGTAATGAATAACGGCTTGGAATTGGAAATCGGAGAGATGAATTCCAATTCCATTCAGGTTCGTTATATTCACCTACGCGCAAATCCATTTAAGAAAAAGTATGAATCCACCTCTTCTACAACCCCCCACCCCCACCAACTATAGATTAATTAATAGAACTTGTATCAGTAAGTCATGATTATCGCCAAAAAATTATTACAATCTAAAATATTTTCTGGCTTTAAATAACCTTCAAAATGTTGATAAGCTGTAAAGCACAAATTAAACAATCAATCACTTTCAGGATCAGCAAATGCATCATTATTTATTGGATTAAAGTTTTGCAATAGATCAACTAATTCTATAAAATTTTAAAATAATTCGAGAATCGTGTTATGTACGAATTTGTGAGTACTAGCAAAATTACTTTTAATGCTTGATCGAACTGAATTTTGTCGATGAAAGCAAATTAGGCCCTGCCCTGACAATGCTTTTTGCATCGTCCTAAAGTGCATTTTTATCTGTAATAATTAAAAGATGGTGACTACTTTCGTTTTCTGAGGGCTATGAATGGTGAAATGAGTCGCTAAACAATCAGTCAAGATGTAAATAAAATCTAATTTTAATTTGAGTTGTCTCCAAGAAAACTGAAGATTTAATCCTCATTGTA